ATGACATACACGGAATATACTTGACTATACTTGTACTATTTACACAAGAATCTTACGCCAGACTGACCGAGAGAGGATGGAGGTCTGCTTGGTACAGCCCAGAGCACTCAGCAGCTTCTGTTTCTCGGTTCTGACGCTGGTGTTGAGGTACTGAGCCCACACGAAGTCCCATTCTACTTGACCTCCAGCAGCGATTGCGGTACAGTACACGGTACTCCGCAAGTTGGGCGAGATGATGCTGTGGATGTACCAGGCTACTGTACAGTCTTATAAAGTGATGTTATATGTGTACCGAGTGTCTGTCAGGGATCACCAAAACCGAGAGAGATCTACCTAGGGAGCCTCACCTGTGATTGGCTGGGTTGAGCATCCACTGGTGAAAGAGGCTGACGGAGTTATCAACACAGTCCTGGTGTTGCAGTTTACACGCCCACGACAACGCTAGGACCCGCTTGTACTGCTGTAAGTGCGGATCCTGCCAGTTATCCGCAAAGCCCACTGACTCGTATAATGGCATGATCAGATCGAGTAGATAATTCTGTAGTGAAGATGTACTATGAGGGTCACAGTAACTTGACGTGATATAGTTTTTGTAACCCGTGTGTGTAAAGATGTTACGTACAGTATAATAATTATCCTAACATCCATGTTATGCCTGAACTAAACGCGTATTACATCTAAAAAAAAAATTCATAAATTTTTACCCTAGACACACTCTGAATGTCATCTTTACACACGTACAGTAAGGTTATAAAACAAACAATTACTTCAAGGATTAAAGATAAATGTTATGGAGAATGGAGTACAGTATATCATTCATGTTACCTCTATTTAATCCAAAATATCTGAACTTCTCACTATATCAATTTATAAAGAACTTCATTAACTTAAAAAAAAATAAAACTTATTATATTCATTCCCGTAATTACTGAGACAGTCGACTAATTCTCTTACTTTAAAGGCGGCGTAGTGAGGTGAGTGTGTGAACATGTTGTAGAGGTAGTCCATGTTGTCTAACGCAGAGGCCCACGGCACGTACTCTGTCTCTCTGTTCAGGTACCCGACCACACGTAGCGCAATATCGTATGATAGCTGGCCTGAGGAGAAAGTAATGTTATCATATCTTTCTCTCTCTCTCAGCAATTCAATATTCTGTCCCTATACAGCATCCTTAAGTGTGTAAGAGTCATTAGACTTTGTTAAAGATCAGAACAATAAGGAAGGCTAGGTTGGGTTAACAAATGTTCAGTGTCAATAATAAAACTCACTGGCACGGGCCAAGTCTAAGGCGTCGTCGAGGAGCTGCGCGCGGTTGAGCGCATTAATGACCGAGTGATCTGTGAGGAGCTGGTGAATGATCAGACCCCAGTTGTGGTCGTCGTAGTTAACCCTGTAGTACCCCGTCTGTTGTAGGTTGAACACGACCCAATCCTCTTTCTTGGGTAGTGGCAACACGATGATCTGTGCATCAGTGTTTTTCATCCAGGCCATGGGTTGTGTGACGCTGAAGACTGGGTTGTCTTGGCTGGTGAAGGTCAAAGGCACCCACCACCTGTAGTCGTGACTGGTGGTCTGGTTCTCTCTCTTCGTCAGGCGAAACCGTTCCTGTAAGGGTTTTAAAACTTGATTATATAGTTAATTGAATATCAGCATCATTAGCGAGGCAGCCATCATTAATTATCTCTGTCAGGAGAAACATTTTATAATTATTTTTACCCACAATAAGACATACTAAGACAAATTATGCCTCAGTAATACTACATTATGCAAAAACAACATTTCAAAAGATTAGAATCACATTGAAATAATACATGACCGTCAGCAGAGGCGGGAAATATGACTGTTGTTTTTGCATAATGTAGTATTACTGATACGTAATTTGTCTTAGTAGGCCATAGTGTGGGTAAAAATAAGTATATATTAAATGCAGAGTTTAACAGTTAATTCATGTATAATACTTCTGATAAACTTCCTACATGCTTATGTTTGAAACAATGAATGTATGTATCTATATAATTTAACTAAATATCTTTCTCGTCAGAAACGGTCATCCCAACGATTATGAATAAAATCATTCAGAAATACATCATTACTTCAGGACAAAATTGAACAGGCTTACAACAGCCAATCAGCTGTAAATTTTGAGGGGGCGGGGCATCTTTTCTCAGCTGGGAAAAAACGCGCTATAGACCATGACAGAACTGATCATTTATGTTTTCCTAATATAAGACTCGTTATCCTATATTTACTATATCATTAAAGACGATCTAATGTGAAATTATATCAATATACTGTACTATAAATAATTGATGCAGACAGTTAACAGGTTACGTGTGGTCAGAGGTGTAGTGTACCAGCTCCTCGTCAGTATGAAACCCCTATTTTTTGACGTCATGTTGCAACTCAAACTAATAATGTATGACTCCATTATGATACATAAGCTGTCTGTACCAGTGTGCATCATAATCCCTGCAGCTGTTATTGCCGTATAAACAGAAGCCAACAGACGAGAGCTAAACACATCAACAGTATTACCTGAGAGATGGTGGCTGAGGTCCCATCTTCACTCCTCACTACCTTAATGACCGGGTAACCCATCTGCAGCGTCCACGTGTCCATCACCATCTTCACTGTCATCTCCGGAGGCAGTGTCTGGTCCTGGTGGGCGGCCTTCGTCAGGTACTCCCACAGATCGTCTTGTACTGCGCTGCCATATTGACTGATGAAGAACAACAATATGACCAACAGATGACAATAATTAAAGTAACATATGTAAATAATGCAACAATAACTTTATGAAACATTGATCTATGATTTGTTAATACCGTCTACCACTCACACACACACACACACACACACACACACACACACACACACAAACTATGTACAAGAAAAATAACACAAACAAACGTCGAAAGAAGAAAAGAAAAGGATGAAGAAATAAGAAGAGAAAGAAAGGGAGAGGAGAAGACTGGCAGGTGAGGGAGGGAGAGGACGACTTACAGAGCACTGAGGTAGTCAGCGAGGCCTCTCCTGAAGGTGGCCTCCGTCAGGAAGTGGTTCATCATGCGGATCACTGAAGCTCCTGACGATGATGTAACGTAAGATGATGTAACTTAATAATGTATATACAATAATGTTACTTAATCATGTATCTTAATAATGTATATACAATAATGTTACTTAATGATGTATATAAAATAATGCTACTTAATAATGTATATACAATAATGTTACTTAATAATGTATATAAGTTGTAAATTAACCTTTAAAATACCTTCTTTTATTATATTGCTTATAAATATTAGTGGTACAGAAGCATTACGGTAGAGACACATACAGAGGCATTACGGTAGAGACACATACAGAGGCATTACGGTAGAGACACATACAGAAGCATTACGGTAGAGACACATACAGAGGCATTACGGTAGAGACACATACAGAAGCATTACGGTAGAGACACATACAGAGGCATTACGGTAGAGACACATACAGAAGCATTACGGTAGAGACACATACAGAAGCATTACGGTAGAGACACATACAGAAGCATTACGGTAGAGACACATACAGAAGCATTACGGTAGAGACACATACAGAAGCATTACGGTAGAGACACATACAGAAGCATTACGGTAGAGACACATACAGAGGCATTACGGTAGAGACACATACAGAAGCATTACGGTAGAGACACATACAGAGGCATGCATGGTGGAGACACATACAGAGGCATTACGGTGAGACACATACAGAGGATTACGTGGAGAGGAGCATTACGGTGGGGACACATGGGCTTGGTAGAGACACATCAGGGGCATTGGTGGGGACACATACGAGCTAGGTGAGACACATAGAGGCATTACAGGTGGGGGACACATACAGAGGCATTACGGTGGGGGACACATACAGAGGCATTACGGTGGGGACACATACAGAGGGCATTACGGTGGAGACACATACAGAGGCTTACGGTGAGGACACATGGAGGCATTACGGTGGGGACACAGGGCTTACGGTGGGGACACATGGGGCATTACGGTGGAGACACATACAGGGCATTACGGTGAGACACATGGGGCATTACGGTAGAGAACATACTGAAGCATTACGGTAGAGACACATACAGGAGGCATTGGTAGAGACACATACAGAGGCATTACGGTAGAGACACATACAGGAGCATTACGGTGGAGAAACATCAGAGGCATTAGAGAACACATACAGAGGCATTACAGTAGAGACACATACAGAGGCATTCGGTAGAGACACATACAGAGGCATTACAGGTGGGGTATATAGGGCATTACGGTGAGACACATACGGAGGCATTACGGTAGAACACATACAGAGGCATTACGGTAGAGACATACAGAGGCATTACGGTGAGACACATACAGAAGCATTACGGTAGAGACACATACAGGGGTACGGTGGGAGACACATACAGAAGCATTACGGTGGAGACACATACAGAGGCATTACGGTGAGACACATAGAAGCATACGGTGGGAGACACATACAGAAGCATTACGGTAGAGACACATCAGAGGCATTACGGTGGGGACACATACAGAGGCATTACGGTGAGACACATACAGAGGCATTACGGTGAGACACATACACAGAAGCATTACGGTAGGGACACATACAGAGGCATTACGGTAGAGACACATACAGAAGCATTACGGTGGAGACATACAGAGGCATTACGGTGGAGACACATACAGAGGCATTACGGTAGAGACACATACAGAAGCAATTACGGTAGAGACACATACAAGAGGCATTACGGTAGAGACACATACAGAAGCATTACGGTAGAGACACATACAGAGGCATTACGTAGAGACACATACAGAAGCACATGGTAGAGACATACAGAAGCATTACGGTAGAGACACATACAGAGGCATTACGGTAGAGACACACACAGAGGCATTACGGTAGAGACACATACAGAGGCATTACGGTAGAGACACATACAGAGGCATTACGGTAGAGCACATACAGGTACGGTAGAGACACATACAGAGGCATGGAGAGGCCATACAGAGGCATTACGGTAGAGACACATACAGAGCATTACGGTAGAGACACATACAGAAGCATTACGGTAGAGAGACTGTAGCTGAGATTGGTGTATACTATTGTTGAGGACACACTTACCTTTAGCGTAGGTAATTCGGTCAAAATTTTTAATGTCGTCAGGATGTTGGACCGGGAGGTTGATGGGGTGTGAAGACTCCAGGCAGTCGATGGCGAACACGTCATGTATGTCGATGAAAACGAACTGTTCCATCACACTCCAGCTTGGCTCTACCTGAGGATTGACAACACACCTGAGGACTGACAACACACCTGAGGACTGACAACACACCTGAGGACTGACAACACACCTGAGGATTGACAACACACCTGAGGACTGACAACACCTGAGGACTGACAACACACCTGAGGACTGACAACACACCTGAGGACTGACAACACACCTGAGGACTGACAACACACCTGAGGACTGATAACACACCTGAGGACTGATAACACACCTGATATATATCGTCTCTTCCTGCTAACTTAAATATGTGTTCTCTGTAGGTATTTAAATGCAAGAGAGAGAGAGAGAGAGAGAGAGAGAGAGAGAGAGAGAGAGGGAGAGAGTAACGGATTCTCACATGGTCAAGCGCCACATACTCCGTGTAGGAAGCGAAACCTTCATTTAGCCACAAGTCGTCCCACCAACGCGGTGTCACCAGGTTCCCAAACCACTGGTGGGCCAACTCGTGGGACACAATGAATCCTGTGCTCTGCTTGTTGGCCGCTGACGACACCCCCGCCTCGTACAGCAACGATGTTTCCCTGTAATAGTTGTGGTAGTAATAGTAATTATGATGGTGGTTATAGTATTAGAGGCAGTAGTAGTTATGATGAAAGTACTATAATAAACTGAGTACTGTAACCAACACACAGTACATGATCTCACCCATACAGTACCAGGCCCCAGTTCTCCATACCACCGACGTTTTCTGGCACTGTGATGGAGTCGAGCTTGGGCAAGGGGAACGGGATACCGAAGTAGTACTCGTAGAAGGCCAACATTTCTTGACCTATCCTGAGGGAGTAGTGGGCGTGGTCGATGACTTCCTCTCGTCCACACTATCACCATGGAAGGAGAAAGTATATTGATTATATGACGCTTAGTAGACATATATACATACATACACACACACACACACACATACATACATACATACATACATACATACATACATACATACATACATACATACATATCGATGAATTAACAGATAGGCAAAAGCGAGATATCCAATACATAAAGACCCTGGAGAAGGTTGTCAGTACTCACCTCGGAACATGACGTGGTTAAGATCATTAGACTGGATGTAGGTGTAGTTAGAGACGGCAAGGACTAAGTAGGTTGACATGGGTACGCTGGGGGGGTAGTGATCCCATACCCATCCCTCCTGTCTCTCCCTGTAACACCATACCTAGCAAAGGTCCTAACCAAACACACACTTAATATCTCCATCACACACTTACATAGGGAAAGTTTAAGAGGTTCACCACACTTAAGTTAACCACCAGACTACACTTACACTTACATAGGGAAAGCTTAAGAGGTTCACCACACTTAAGTTAACTATCAGACTACACTTACACTTACATAGGGAAAGTTTAAGAGGCTTACAACACTTAAGTTAACCACCAGACTACACTTACATAGGGAAGGTCTCCATAAGTGGCATGTTAGACAGGGAGGTCATGTGATGTTCCCTCGCCAGAAATATCTCAAAAGTGGCCTTTAGTTCAGGCTCGTCGAAGCAGGGGAAGGCGCGTCTGGCCTCTGTTGGCTGGAACAATGTCGCCGCCACCCACCTACAGGAGTGACACGTATCTATGGCATGGGGAGTGACACGTACTTAGTACATAGAAGTGTCTAGTTAAGTAGATATCCCTATACTCTTCTTCACCACCTGTGTCCCAGAATTAATTGTTAGGTACAGTAGTTACTAATTGAACCTCTCCTCACTGCATTACCACCTGTGCCTTAGTACGTAATAAATTACTATTTACTAATTAAGCTCAGCCGTTCATCCCACCTGTGTCTTAGTACGTAATTAATTACTATTTATAAATTAAGCTAACCTGTTCGTCCCACCTGTGCTTTAGTACGTAATTAATTACTATTTACTAATTAACTTCACCTGTCCATTTTACCTAACCAAACATTAAGTAACTTTACCTGTCTGTCTCACCTAACTAAACACTAATTAACTCTACCTGTCTGTGCCATCCTCGTCCTTATACTGTGACTTATAGAATCCATTGAGCTGTGTGTTGAGGTGAGCGAGGAAGGCCATGGTCAGTACATAACTCGTGCCAGCTTCCAGCGGCTCTGACAGACTGGCGATGTAGAACTGTCGCTCTTGGTCGTATGTGTGGTGAGTTATAGTTGGTGCTGGCCTTGTTGAGTCGGCCACGGGTATGATCTGTTGGTGTAGGAGAGAGAGAGGGAGTCAATCATCACTTCCCATCCGTCAAAACCTATCACCATCACACTCTGCCACATCAATATTCACCTACCACTCTCCCGTCACTCTCCACCCACCACTCTTCTGTCACTCTCCACCCACCACTCTCCTGTCACACTCCACCCACCACTCTCCCGTCACTCTACACTCTCCCGTCCTCTCCACCCTCCCGTCCTCTCCACCCACCACTCTTCTGTCTCTCCCACCACCCTCTCTGTCACCTCCACCCACCCTCTCCCGTCACTCTCCAGCCACCACTTTTCTGTCCTCTCCACCCACCACTCTCCTGTCCTCCACCCACCACTCTCCGTCCTCTCCACCCACCTCTTCTGTCACCTCCACCCCACCTCTCCCGTCCTCCCACCCCACCCACTCTTCTGTCCTCTCCACCCCCACTCTCCTGTCACCTCCACCCCACCACTCTCCCACCATCCTCTCCACTCTCTCCGTCCTCTCCACCCCACCACTCTCCTGTCACCTCCATCCACCACTCTCCCGTCACTCTCCTCTCCCGTCCTCTCCCACCCTCTCCCGTCCTCTCCCTTTCCTCCCACCCACCACTCTCCTGTCACCTCCACCCCCACTCTCCCGTCCTCTCCCACTCCTCCACTCACTCTCCCGTCTCTCCACTCTCCCGTCCTCCTCTCCGTCTCTCCTCTCCGTCACTCTCCTCTCCTGTCCACCTCCACCCTCTCTCCTGTCACCTCCCACTCTCCTGTCTCCACCCACCTCTCCTGTCACCTCCACCCACCACTCTCCTGTCACCTCCACCCACCCTCTCCCATCCTCTCCCTCTGTCCTCCCTCCCACCCACCACCTCCTGTCCACCCCTCTCCCTCCTCTCCACCCACCCTCTCCTGTCCTCCATCCCCCTCTCCCGTCCTCTCCCACTCTCCCGTCACTCTCCCACCCCCTCTCCCGTCCTCTCCACTCCCGTCACTCTCCACTTTCCCGTCACTCTCCACCCACCCTCTCCTGTCACCTCCACCCACCACTCTCCCGTCCTCCTCCTCTCCCGTCACTCTCCACCCAACTCTCCCGTCACTCTCCACTCTCCCGTCCTCTCCACTCTCCCGTCTCTCCACTCTCCTGTCACCTCCACCCACCACTCTCCTGTCACACTCCACTCTCCTGTCACACTCCACCCACCACTCTCCTGTCACACTCCACCCACCACTCTCTTGTCACACTCCACCCACCACTCTCCCGTCACTCTCCACTCTCCCGTCACTCTCCACCCACCACTCTCCTGTCACACTCCACTCTCCTGTCCACCCTCCCCACCTCTCTTGTCACTATACTCACCCTGACAGTATCATTCTTCGTCCTATTGTCAATGTGGAGGGTGATGTTGGAGGTAGGTTCAAGGACGACCATCTCCACCTCCAAATATCCCCTGATGCTGAAGTCTCCGTTGATGAAAGGCTGAAGTTTGACGACATAGCGGGTGGGTTTGAGGGCTCTGGGTAACCGGACATCTGGTCTCTTCTTGACTACACCTGAGCTGGACGGACCAACGGACTTGCTTGTGGTTGGAGGTACGGACGTGACTGTTGTTCCAAGTGCGAACGTGACAGGGGTTAAGATGTTGTGGTGGTGAGTGAAGACGTTGAGGAAGAATGCATTATGGAACTTGTAAATTTTGGTCTGGGTGACTTTGGAGGTCCAGGCTTGGTGCCACCTGAAGCCGTCTGCATGTTGTTGACGCGCTGGGGGGGGATGAACACAACTTATAATGATTAATAAACAAACCAGTTTACACTTAAGATTAGCATACAGTACCTGAGGGGTGACGCTAAAGATCTTATGATCGAGTACTGGCTCCAATAGTCTCTCTCTCTCTCTCTCTCTCTCTCCACTAGCTAGGCTGCTACAGAGAGCATCCCACAGTACATTAGTTACTTACTGACGAAGGGAGGACATGGCTGACGATGGAGGCACGGTGGGGAGTCTCGTGCCTGACGTATGGGGCGAAGTAGTAGACGAGGAGCGCCGTGGTCACTGTAGCACTGACGAAGAGCACCACCAGCAGCACCGTCACGCCCTTGGTGATGTAACATCCGCCCTTCCTCCCGAACGTTACCTTGCTGAGGGAACCACTCGCGTCCCCGCCCGAGTCATTGTTCGCCGTCACCATCGTGATACACAAACTCCTGACCAGGCTTGGCGTAACACTCCTGACCAGGCTTGATGACGTAACACTCCTGACCAGGCTTGATTGCGCCACTGAACCACTACTGCGGAGTATAAGACAATAGACAAACGAGAATGATAACAAAACGGAAGGGGGGAGAAATCATGTAACTCAGTGATCTGGACAACTCCGCCCCCCTCCCTTTACCTGTCCAGTTAACCCCCTCCTTTTCTCCTCCTCTCTCCCTCTCTCCTTTCTCCAGTCTAAACGTATACCTCCCTTTCCTTCTTTCCCCCTCTCCTTAAATTTTATATATTCCCCTTAACTTAATTCTTTATCTTTTAATTCCTCCCTCCCTTCCCCCTTCATCTCTCATTCCTCCCTCCCTCTTCTTCCTCCTCCTATTTCTTCCCCTCCTCCTTCCTCCTCCCTCCCTCCCTCCTTCCTCCTCCCTCCCCTCCCTCCTTCACTCCCCTCTCCTCCCTCCATCACTCCTCCCTCCTTCCTTCAGTCCCTCTCCCTCCTTCACTACTCCCTCCTCCTTCCATCTTCCCTCTCTCCCCTCCCCCCTCCTCCCTCTACTTTCTCCCTCCCTTCCTCCTCCCTCCCTTCCTTCACCCTCCCTCCTTCACTTCTCCCTCTTCACCCCTCCTCCCTCTCCCTCCCTCCCTCCCTCCTTCCTCCCTCCCCTCCCCTCCCTTCACTCCTCCCTCCCCTCCCTCCTTCTCCCCCTCTCTCTCCTCTTCCTCCCTCCTCCTCCTCCCTCCCTCCTTCTTTCCACTCCCTCCTATCTTCCTCCCTCCCCTTACTCCTCCCTCCTCCCTCCCTGTTATCTCTCCCTCCTCCTCCCCTCTCTCTCCTTCCTTCCTCCTCCTCTTTTCCTTACTCCTCCTTCCTCCTTATTTCCCTCCTTGCCCTTCCCTCCTCCTCTTCCTTCCCTCCTCCTCCTTCACCCTCCCTCCTCCCTTCCTCCTCCTCCCTCCTTCTCTCACTCTCCTTCACTCCCTCCTTCCTCACTCCACTCTCCCTCCTCCCTCCCTCCTTCCCTCCTTCATCCTCCTTCCCTCCTGCTCCTCCTCCCCTCCTTCCTCCTCCCTCCCTCCCTCCTTCATCACTCTCCTCCACCCCTCCCTCCCTCCCTCCTCCCTCCTTCGCTCCTCCCTCCCTCCCCCCTTCACTCTCCTCCCTCCTCACCTTTCCTCCCTCCTCACTCCTCCTTAACTCCTCCTCCCTCCCTCCCTCCTTCACTCTCTCCCTCCCTCTCCCTCCTTCCTTCACTCTCTCCTCCTTCACTTCCTCCCCTCTTCCCTCCTCCTCCTCCTTTCTTCACTCCTCCCTCCCTCCTCCTTCACTCCCTCCCTCACTTCTTCCACTTCCTTCCTCCCTCCTTCCTCCTCCTTCCTTTCTCCCCTCTCACCTCCTTCCTCCTCTCTCTCTCTTCCCCACTCCTCCCTCCTTTCTCCCTCCTTCCTTCCTCCCTCTCTCCTTCCTTCCTCCCCTCCTTCCTTCACCTCCCTCTTCTTTTCCTCCCCTCCCTCTCCTTCCTCTCCCTCCTTCTTCTCCTTCTCCCTTCTTCCTCCCTCCTCCTTCCTCCCTCCTTCCTTCTTCCTCCTCCCCTCCTTCCTTCATCTCTCTCCTTCCTCCTTCCTCCCCTCCCTCCTTCCTCCCTTCCTTCTTCCTTCACTCCCTCCCTCTCTCCTCCCCTCCTCCTCCTTCCTTCCTCCCCTCTCTCCTTCCTCTCCCCTCTCTCCTTCTCCCTCTCTTCCTTCACTCCTCCCTCCTCCTTCCTTCCTTCCTTCTTCACTCCTCCCTCCTTCTTCCTCCTCCTCCTTCCTTCCTCCTCCTCCTTCTTCGTTTCCCTCCCTCCTTCCTCCCTCCCCTCCTCCTTCCTCCTCTCCCTTCCTCTCCTCCCTCTTTCCTCTCCCTCCTTCCTTCCTCTCCCTCCTTCTTCGTTTTCCTTTCCTCCCTCCCTCCCCCTTCCTCCTCCTCCCTCTTTCCCTCCCTCCTCCTTCCTTCCTCCTCCCTCCTTCTTCTTTCCTCCCTCCTTCCCTCCTCCTTCCTTCCTCCCTCCCTCCTTCTTCCTCCCCTCCCTCCCTCCCTCCCTCCTTCCTTTCCTCCCTCCCTCCTTCTTTCCTCCTCCCTCCTTCCTTCCCTTCCCTCCCCCTCTTCTTCACTTCCCTCCCCTCCCCTTCCTCCCTCCCTCTCCTTCCTTCCTCCTCCCTCCCTTCTTCATTCCCTCCCTTCTTCCCTCCCTCCCTCCCTCCCCTTCCTTCCTCCCTCCCTCCCCTCTTTCCTCCCTCCCTCTCTTCCTTCACTCACTCCCCTTCCTTCCTTCCTCCCTCCCTCCTTCCTTCTCCCTCCCTCCTTCCTTCACTCCCTCCTCCCTCCTTCCTTCACTCCTCCTCCTTCTTTCTCCTCCCTCCTTCCTTCCTCCTCCCTCCTTCTACTCCCTCCCTCCTCCCTCCCCTCCTTCCTTCCTCACTCCCCTCCTTCTTCATTCCCCTCCCTCCCTTCCTCCCCTCCCTCCCTCCTTCACTCTCTCCCCTTCCTCCTCTCCCTTCCTCCTCTCCTTCCTTCACTCTCCCTCCTTCCTTCCCTCCTCCCCTCCTTCTTCCTCCCTCCCTCCCTCTTTCTCCTCCCCTCCTTCCTTCACTCCCCTCCCTCCTTCCTCCTCCCCTCCCTTCCTTCACTCTCTCCCTCCCTCCTTCCCTTCCCTCCTCCCTCCTTCCTCCTCCCTCCCTCTTTCCTCCCTCCCTCCTTCCTTCCTTTCCCTCCCTCCTTCCTTCCCTCACTCCTCCTTCCTTCCTCCTCCCTCCCTCTTTCCTCCCTCCTCCTTCCTTCCTCCCTCCCTCCTTCACTCCCTCCCTCCTTCCTTTACTCCCTCCTCCCTTCTTCGTTCCTCCCTCCTTCCCTCCTCCCTCCCTCCCTCCTTCCTCTCTCCCTCCCTTCTTCCTTCTCTCCCTCCTTCCTTCCTCCCCTCCCTCCTTCCTCCCTCCCTCCCTCCTTCCTCCCCTCCCTCCTTCCCTCCCTCTCAGATACCAAGAAAGTTCGCTTGCTTTCTTTCAGTTTCATGTCTTGATATTTACAGATGACAAAAACCTCACCTGTGTGTGTGAGACCCTGACCATCTTATAGACCAGGTCAATAGCTTTTTCCGTCACTTTCATATTCTCCTCATTCTTGTTTGTGTCTTTACATTCTCCTCACTCTCACCTGTGTCTCACTCTCACCTGTGCCTCCCTCTCATGAGCACCTCACTCTCACCTGTGTCTCCCTCTCATGAGCACCTCACTCTCACCTGTACCGCACCTTCGTGTTCACAGAAAGAAAAACAAACTAACATTTGTAAAGTAACTTGTAAAAGATAAAATGGAGGCTGCACACTTTCTCTTCCCAGCAACAGGTTCTACTGACCCCACCCCCACCCCCAAGGACCGTCACTTCACTGTATCACTGACTCTCAACTGTGTCACCCACCACCAATAAGACTAGTAACCCCTATTGATCAGCCATGTCGTAACTTTTTTATAACTGACGCATTGCTTCGTCAGCCATTGTCTGAAGTAATGTTATTCTTTATACCACCACCACAACAACAACAACCACCACCACTACCACTATAACAACAACAACTACAACCATAACAACAACAATAATCATAACAACAACAACAACAAAAATCATAACAACAACAACAACCACAACATACATCAGTTTAACAGCTGTACAAGCAACTTTAAACTTCAAGTAACTCTACCAGATGTGAGTCCTCTTGGTACGTTACGTTCGCTAATTTTATTTATAATTTTTGTTGGAAATGTCAAGAATGTCCTCAGCAAACACACACAATCACACACTTTTTTACTTTTATCCTCTTCACCACTGATCGGCTCGTTAGCACACACACACACAAAAGGATTCTCATTCTCTGATATAAGCACTCAATCAATCAATAAGAGTACAGTCCTCATATCTGAGGGTTGGAGACCACAGTCCTCCACGCTAAACGTTGTCGGGCTGTTTTCTCCAAACCTCCAAGGCTTTGTATCTCTCTAGGGATACAGTTTTTAATTTCATTCATCCATCTCAGTCTCTGTCTTCCCCTGGCCCTCCTACCTTCATCTTTACCCATTAATATTTCTGTTATTATTCCCTCGTCCTTAATTGTATGAACAAAGTATCTCTTATATATACACACACTTTATTGAACCAACACTTCATACTCACTACACAACACTTAACACTCACTACACAACACTTAACACTCACTACACAACACTTAACACTCACTACACAACACTTAACACTCACTACACAACACTTAACACTCACTACACAACACTTAACACTCACTACACAACACTTAACACTCACTACACAACACTTAACACTCACTACACAACACTTCCTGACCGTTCACCAGTGATGTGTTCACTGACCGGTCCAGCCCACAACTGGTAGTCCAGGTTCCACTAGACTTACTCTGTTGCCGCCACCTTTATGCTGCTGAGAAAAATGTGTACGCTGCCAGACCTTCCTCATACACACACACACACACACACACACATGCACGAGCACTACTGCCACCTTTACGCAGGTGAGAGTAACGTGTAGGCCGCCAGGTGAGGTGCGACACTCACCTGTATCAGCCATGTAAGGTCTCCAATTCTATGTGAGGACGCTATGAGCAGTACTGAATCACGACCACGTTATTGATCATAAAATTCTAAATACTGTACTCTGAAAACTGTTATTACATCGCTCCATGTCTGTGTCCCTGCACCACCATCCCCGGTAATAAATAAAATAAATATCTCAGTCATATCAGCACCAAACGTCCGGGATGGACCATGTTGGGCAAACTTTAGGTAAACAATGAATGTTTGGTGAGGTCAAGCTCAAGTTCAAGGTCATGGTGGTCTAAAGTTCAACAATACTTTACGATAACTGTGGCACAAAGCTCCGTAGAAGGTTGGCAATTACTGCATTAGTCTCCTCGATAAAACTTATCATTGACGTTTTACTCTCTGATGTCACGATTCTCTAGAAAATGTCGCCAAAGATATTTTTCGACTAAAATGACATTACAGTCAAA